CTTGGACCTCCAACCTAGAACGTATATCAAACATGCAACCCGTTTGGACGTTCGGGTTGAATGTGAACATGAAGGGCTCATTACTTTATGAAAACCCTTTAAGAAACCATGCAACTCTTAAGACGTGGTGTTCGTGCTAAGTGAACTAACAATTATTAACCACAAGAAGTCATCGCTAATTTCAGGGAACCTTCCGACCAAAATTGCATCAAATTACTTTTCTAAACATCCTCGTGGCCATGAATCACTAAGACACTTAGATAGTTTAAAGATGGTGATTAATAATTCAAAACATGCATGCATAATATTACAAGTAAATTGAAAAAAAACTACATATTCTTGCTACAGCTCGTGGCCTCGCCCTAGCAAAAGAGATTAGTTATCACAATCATAAAGAAAAAAATTATAAAGAACACCTTGTAAATAAACTTGAATCGTCAAAAGCACTCTAAGCCGAGTTCTCCAACCGTAATGGCTAAATAGCCTTATTTGTACTACTACAAAATAAAATCCTTCCTAGAAAAGGCCTTTTAAAAACTAGGAAACTAAGTTGAATAAGATAACTAGGAAATATATTCCCATTCTAACTTTGGGAAATTTGGGCAACCGCAAAGAATCCCATGTTTTTGACCCTTCAAAGCTCCAAATCAGACCTTAAAGCTTAGGACATCCCGAACATATTTGTAGAAGGGCCCATTGTCAAAAGACACGGACTAGTTGAGGGACTCACGAACAACCTTCAATTGGAATCACTCCAAAATTCATCCGTTTGACCACTTTTTGCTCATGAGGAAATCACATGTCCTACATTGGAAATATACTTCAAACTATCAAATTCTTACACAATAACCAATAAATTAATACTAAGATTCAAATAAAAAGACCAAGCACATCAAAAGAAAGTTCACTTGATCAAACTCTTGTACTACAAGTTAGAGGATCAAATGGCAAACATCTTCACCAAGGCACCACCTAAAGCAAGATTTGTGTACTTGAGAGGTCTACTTTGCTTGAGAGGTCTACTTTGGAGTCGAGATCATAAATCATTTGGAGTCGAGACCATAAATCATTTAGAGGGGAGTGTTGGAACTAAATGAATCATTGCCCTTGATCTTGGCTTAGTCAGCAAGGAAGACTAAAAGGGAGCAACGACTAGTTTCTATTTGAATGTTAAATAGAGTTAGGTGATGAGTTTGTCTTATAGACACATGTAAGGCTGAGATTAGTGTGTGTTGCTACGATGCATGGACACGGGAGAAAGCCACCATGTCCCGTATCTAACATGATGAGGATACGGATACGTGTGGATACATGCCCGATAAGTATTGGAGTGAAGAGATACGTTTAGGACTGATGAGATACGCGTATCGTATTGTCGAGATAGTATCTTACTTTTTGGATATGTTTCAAACTAAAATAGGAGGATAATCAGAAAAAAAAAATTAATCATAATAAATCCGCACAAAATCATGATTGATCGAAGTTAGCTAACTAAAATCACTCTAAAATCGGAGGATAATTAGAAGAAAAAAAATTCGGATTTACCTCTCAAACCTTAGAAATCACTCTGCTTGGGAGACTTTCACAAATCACCATTGACCGTCATTTGCAACTGTTCCGTCATCTCTGTCTGCAATTGCACCTTCTTGTCCATCTTCTCTGTCTACAATTGCTCTGTCGTCTCTTTCGTCTCTGTCTGCAACTGCTGGTGGCTGGTGAGCTTTCGTTTTCACTTTGTTAATAGTTTCGAATCCGATGTTTTCCTGATCTTACTCCTCAGCTTTACTGATTCAATGACTCCATAGTCCATTCGAAGCCTTAATCTGATTCCCCGAGGATAAAACCCATCTCTGAAACTAAAAGCTTAATCTGATTCAAAGCCTTTTGCTTTCTGAAACTAATATTATACTATTACAATGATATATTATAATATCCATACCACTACTCCATAGTCCATTCGAAGCCTTAGGCCATCTCCAACTGAAGGGTCAGAGGGCCAGAAGGCCGAAAATAGCCCGAAAACTATCTTCAACTGAGGACTAGGTCAGAGGGATCGTGGAATCTAAGAGGGCCCCACGAAATCTGAAAGGACTGGAGGCCTGGCCAAAAAATTGATTAATCATGTCGGCTATAATGGACTAGAATTCTTAAAAAGAATTATAGATGGGTGTTGGAAGATAGTGTGAGGGGGAATTGTCAAACAAATGACGGTGTTTGGACTCCTGTGTCCAAAAAATACTTAGAGTTCTATAAAGGCATCACTCCAATGAATATTCGAAACCACGAGAGTTGTTCTTCAAGATGGAAGAAATATCTTCAGCCAAGTTTAAACAAATGGCATCAAGCATTGTTAGCAGCTGCAAGTAGACATGAAAGTGGCACTAATTACTACGACGAAGTAAGTATTTTCACAATTTATTTTAAATATTTAATTATATTAGATTTAATTTCATAAATTAATTTCCTTCAATTTTTTTTTCTAGGTACGCCAAGTGGAGGAATTGTATATGGAGAGTAGCTCGAAACCCTTTTAGTTTTACAGTTGTTGGGAAATTTGTAAAGGGTGGGTGTTATTTGAAGATCCACCACAGAGAGCTCCTACGCCGGTGTTCGGAACTGCATCCTCAGCAGCAAATATGGATGAAGATGGATCTCCAACCATTCAACAAACAAGGGTAGAAAATCCGTCTTCGGGTGAAGGTTCTATACCTAGGGCTATGGGACTAAACAAGGCGCGAAGGTTGAAGGAAAAGGGTAAGGCAAATCATGATTATGCCGCTAACATGAAGTGGCGGCCTCATTGCGATTATTGGCGGAGCAAAATGCCCTTGAGACGGAAGAAAGGAAGTGTAGGCATGAAGAACGGGCCAAACAAATACAAGAAGAGATGGATGATAAGAATATGAAAGGGAACACTTCGAATTACACTTCAATGAGTAAGACCTATTTTGATAGGAAAAAAAAAGAAATTATGAGCTGACGGCAGTTGTTTACCTCTGACTATACTCCTACGGTGGCAGATGATGAAGATGATGTTGATTATGGATATTAAATTTAAGTTGCTGTAGTTTTTAAATTTAAGTTAATGTTGTTTTCGAATTTAATTTGTAGTTTTTAAATTTAATTTGTCGTTTTTAAATTTTAGTTGTAGTTTTTAAATATAAGTTGTAATTTTTAAATTTAAGTTGTTGTTTTTAAATTTAAGTTGTTGTGGTTTTTAAATTTAAATAATAAATTATGTTTGGCCCTATGGACTTCGGTTGGAGACGGTTTTTTGTGACAGGGCTAAAACGAGCCCTTTGGCCCTTTGGCCCTTTGACCCTCGGCTGGAGACAGAGGCAAATATGACCATGTACTGTTCATTAAAATATTAATATCTTGAAGGATCAGAGGGCTAAAACGAGCCCTCTGGCTAGCCCTCGGTTCGAGATGGCCTTAATCTGATTTGAAGCCTTTCGCTTTTCGGTTTTTAACTTTTTTGTATTATTATAATATTATTGTATTTTGCATATTATAAGATATTATTGTGTAGTGGTATGTATATTCTTTTTACTTTTTGGAGTTTTTAGACTAATTGCTTGTTGGATGGACTATCTTTCTAACTGTTTAGAGTTTATTAAAATAAATTTGAACTTGAGTAATAAATTTGAATGCTTATTTTATAATATTTTAGATATATTTATTTATTTATATATTTTTTTAATTGCCGTATCCCTGACGTATGGTGTCTTCGTTTTAAAAATTTAACATGTCCACGTGTCATATTGTGTCGTATCCCGTATCCGTGTCCATGTCCATGTAACATAGGTGTGTTGTAAGGCTTGATTTAAAACAAACAGTTGTTAGTGAGTATGTAGCTTAGAGATACGCATGGACGACAAAGAATGGTAGAATCCAATGAAATCGTTCACTGCAGTAGCAGCAATATTTTGCACTGCAATTCTCCAAAACCTCGTCTGCATTTTATCGATCTTTTCCATACCAAAATATCATTTTCTTCACTGAAATTTAACAAGACGAAACATTAGAACTTTAAGCTGCTGAATTCGTATAGGGAATATCCTCCACACACACACAAAAAAAAAAAAAAAGAAAAAAAAAAAAACTAGCAAATTGCCTCCTTGTTCCGTGACAAGTTAAGTGCGATTTGTCGTCCTCAGGGCGAATATTGTCAAGCCGTTTTAACCACGAAAAACCACACAGGACATCTAAGAAATGAATATTGTCAGCACTTGCACAAGTTTGTAAATTTGTAATATGTATAAGATCTGTCACTGACTTTGCTATTGTCTTGCATTCTGAAACCCCTTCCCTTCTGCAATCCTCCAAAAGTTAACCAGCAAATTGCAGCTCTAGAGTGATTACTATATGATGTAATGAGAAGTGTGTCTCATTTGTTTGTACGAATTTTAATTTTTCTATGTTTATTAGAACATAATCTTGATGACTTCTACAATGCAGTTAACTGCATATGTTCTCAGTATCAAACGATATCAATCAAATTATCAATGCAAGTCCAATCGAAGGTGTTATAATTTAGAGTCCAATCCAATGTGGAAAAATTCATGACAACAATATACAGTAGGTTCAATAATCAAATAACAAATACAATGGGGAAATTTCAAGCATATAAAAAATTGGGAAAAAAATAATCACTTGGTTTTAAAAGACAATGGCAGCACATTGTTTTGGAGTGTGATGCGTTACAAGTGGTTTAAGCTATTGGCAGCTCTACTTGTGGGTATTCCTCACTGGTTTACTGATTGAGGACGTTAAAACTAGCCTACGGAGCTTTTCATCTGTGAGAGTGAGTCACACATGTACATCCGCCAATTTAGTGGCGCATACAATGACCAAGTTACTGTTACTAGTTATTGGTTTGACAAGAGTCCGAACATTATTCAGAATGCCCTCATTCAAGATTGTATGCTTGCTTAATATTATGAATAAAATTGCTACCATTTCTTCTTAAAAAAAAAAGGTACATAAATAAATTCCACAAAGAATGAAATGCATACAATTTTGGTGAAAATAAAGTTCCCCAACTTCAATTCTATGCCCTCCTATTCCGCCCCTCCCAAGATTTGTCCCACAGATATTACCTCTCTCGTTCCGAAACACATCAACAACAACAACATATGCCCAAGCCATAGGCTTCACCGGAGCCCCACCCTGCTGCGGTTGCACACACTCCCGGCCTCAATTTGCCAATGCCGCTAGGCCACGTACACCCTCGAGGATTTGAATCGTACCATGTGACCCCCAACATTTGATCACAATCACTACTCATTTCTTTTGTGTACTTCGTCAAAAGTATTTACACATCCAGTTAAGATTTAAGACTCATCCATTCCCAATCCCCCATCTAAAAAAACTAAGCAAATAATAATGCATTTTTGTTAACTCAATGCGCTAAACCCACCTCCCTTCATCATTTGCTTGAACTCCTTGTAGTTGACCCTTCCATCTCCATCCACATCCACCTTCATGATCATCCTTTTGCAGTCCTCTATAGTCCTCCCTTGCTTAAGCCCGAGGGACGATAAAACCGACCTCAACTCATCCACAGTGATGAACCCGTCTCCATTTTGATCAAACACATTGAATGCCTCCTTCATATCCTCCTCCTCATCGCGCTCGTCCATGATAGACTGGTACAACTCCCCAAACTCATCAATGTCCACACACCCGTCTCCGTTCACATCGATCTTCTCGATCATGTTGAAGAGCTCCTTGTCCGGGATGAAGATTCCCAAGTTCTCCAAAGAGTTATTGAGCTCCTGCTTGGTGATCCGCCCATCCCCATTGCGATCAAACATTTGGAACACGCGTTTAAGCTCGTTGGGGTCCATTCTGACTTGATGGCACCACCAGAAGGCAAAGGCAAAGGCAAAGGCAAAGACAACGACGAAGAAGGTGGGGATTGGGGTGGTGGTGTTTTGGTATAAAAAAGAATGGTGTGGTGGGGGAACCAAGAGGAGGGGAGGAGAGGCCTAAGATGCCTGTGGACCAAGGAGAGGAGGAATTTATTAAGAAGATAGTAAATAAGGAAAATCTTTGGCAAAATGGTTGGCATTTGGGAGGAGTTTAGGGTTTGTTTGTATGGTTGGTTGCTGTTGCTTCGGCCTAAAACACTATTTCTTTCTGTTTGTTGAGAAAATTTTGGAGATAAATTTAGGGTTTGGTGTGCACACTGCACATGGACATTGGCCTCTAAATAGTCTGGCACTTTTACGCGTGTTTTAGAAGAAAGAGTTAATTATTAATGATTAATAACAAATATTTGTTGTGACATATGTTCTAATACATGTTGTGATTGTGCAAATTTTAAGTAGAGATAGATTAGGAATCCTTTGGGATCTAGAATATCTTTCCTAATAGACTTTGTATCACTTGGAGAGCAAGTTTCTCTCCATGCCGCACCCCTTAGTTAAATATAGGCCACAACACATTATCAGCATGCTTCTCCACTGCGCTAAGGAATCTGACGTGGTTATTCTTCAATCAAAGGAGTATTACGTTTCAATTATTCTTAATTGATTCAATGTTGATTCAATTTACAATTATTTTTCCTTGAGCATGATACAAGCTTTGGAGATGGAAAGTCGAAATTGAAAAAATAATTTTTTGCATCAAACCAGTTCATTAATATCATCATGCAATCGGGTTCTTCCAGAACAATGGTTTTTATCTCAATATTTTTGTAGCCCTGATAGCATGAACATTCACCATAATGCATGACCCAACTTTACGTTTTTCGAATTTTAGATTCTACATAAATTGTATATACATTATACTCATAATTTTAAATTATGTGAATTGATATTGCATGAAATTATATATAGATCAACATTGAATTATATATACATAATTGAATTAAAAAAATATATATAAATTAGGGTTTGAAACCCCCCCCCCCCAAACTGAGCGAGTCGCGGCCCCCTAGCCCGGCTTGCTAAACCAGCAGCCTGAGCAATTGAAGTCGAGCCAACCCGCAAGCCAATCCACGAGCAAATGCTCCAGGCCTGAACCCAGACCCGACACCATGAATGGTGTTGCCATCACTAAACCCATGGCCAAGTTTGGCCTTCACCCACACTACTGCCATAGGACAACGTCCCTAATGGATTTTTGGCCGAGATTCATTTAAATCTCATCGATTTTTTTTGAAATCCCGATTCAATTTTTCTATTGTTCTTGATATTGAACGTTGACATCTATTTTTCGTTCATTATAGTGGTCATCGTTGAATCATGAACATGCCCGGAGTTTTCCTGACCAAAAACATGGTCGCTTGAAGCAGTGGTGCTGACTTTCTTCTTTGGCAAGCATACCCAACAGTGGTTGGGATGTTTTCTTGGTCCATCCGCACCATAATTGGGCCCTAGTAACTCAACCCGAATCAACTGAAGAAAAAAAAAAACAAGTTTTTGTTCTTCTTGGGATCACTTACAGTGGCCCAATGCAAGAAACTATTTTATGTGGATACAAGATGTGACACCCCGCTTGGCTACAACTAGTTGCGAAGTCATTGTAGCCAATTATGGTGTGGAAGAGTTGAGTAAACCTCCGCCATGATCTTCATTTGAAGACTTATGCCTGAAGCATATCAAATGGAAGTACCTCATTGCTGAGGGCTCTATGGCTCTTTGACTCGCTATGGACCGTTTCAAATCATGCAAAGATGAATTCTTGCCCGAAACAAAACATTATTGAAACCTTTACGTCCATGAAAAGGTACAATTTTGAAGTTTATATCTGATCGAATTTTGACTGGAAGAAAATATTTCTCGTCATTCTATATCTAAATTGCCCCTGAAGTAGCAGTATAGCGAACATAAGTTTACCAAATTCTCGAATTTGATTACTACCACACTTATGATAGAAAGGTACCCTAACAATTTTGTTGAGACGTACCAAACGGTATAGACCAGTTTTGGCTGGAGTCTACTAAATGGTGGTGCCCTGCTTCAGTAGGGATGCACTGACATGCATGCTCTGCTTTGGCAGAGGCCTACCGAACAGACTTCTCTAGCTTCGGCTAGAACTTACTGAACCCAAGTTTGGGTCTGTCTCTTTCTCACAATCTCATTTTGAGTTTGTTTTACAATAAATGGTAATAATCAAGGATGCCAAGAGGTAGTATCACGCCCGAAGCATGATCCTTGACACTTAAAACTTCAAGAATAAGGGATAGTATCCCCGAACCTCAACCCTACAGAATCTAATTCCGTTAACGAAATAGATCATTGGTTCTACACTTGTCTGTGCTTTTACCAATGTTGTTGAGAGCATAGTTGATCTGTGAGACTAATTTTGCTCCACCTAACACATTTGGAAGAGCAAAATTTGACGTGGAAGGCTTATTGGCCAAACCCCATTGTAACTTTGTGAACAATTTATTTTGTTTTCGGATTTAAGATTAGTGTTTGGATGACATTATTATTCTCGAATAAGAGTTAATTAACGAAAACTATAGCATGTGAAATATAATTAACTCATGCTTAGGTATATTTTGAGGGGAAGTTATGTAACATCCCACATCAACCAATGGAAAGGGGGTGATGTGCCTTATATGTCAACCAATGGAAAGGCGGTGATGTGCCTTATATGTACATGCCCACCTCCATATAGCATGAGGCCTTTTGGGAGATCACTGGCTTCGGATTCCATTGGAACTCCGAAGTTAAGTGAGTTTGGGCGAGAGCATTCCCAAGATGGGTGACCCACTAGGAAGTTCTTGTGTGAGTTCCCAGAAACAAAACTATGAGGATGTGCTATCGTGCTGCAGCAGAGTTAAGACTGGGATGTGACAAAATGGTATCAGAGCCACTCTGGCGTGTAGTGCGAGTGTGCCGACGAGGACGTCGGGCCCCTAAGGGGGATGGATTGTAACATCCCATATCAACCAATGGAGAGGGGGTGATGTGCCTTTTATGTACATGCCTACCTTCATATAACACAAGGCCTTTTAGGAGCTAATTGGCTTCAGATTCCATCGAAACTCTGAAGTTAAGCAAGTTTGGGCAAGAGCATTCTTAGGATGGTTGACCCGCTAGGAAATTCTCATATGAGTTCCTCAAAAAAAAACTGTGAGGGTGTGGTTGGGGCCCAAAGCGAACAATATCGTGCTACGGCGGAGTCGAGGTCGGGATGTGACTAGTTAACTGTCTGGTTCTATGCTAACTTCATACCTAATCACCCCCTGACAACCCTTTCAGGCTTATCCAACTTGATTGTGGGACATGGCACTGCCTTATATTGTCCAATGGTACTAATTTTACCATAATAGGAAGCCTTATACTCACTTCGTTCTGAAAGAATGCTTTTTCTTTTTTAGCTTTAAGGATATTCGAGATAACTATTACCATATTGAAACCAATGTAGAAAATGGAGTAAAATTCCTTAGCACTACCTACGAATATAGCCAGAAGCGCATTTTAGAAAAGATGGAACTCTTAATGAGGGGATTACACCCATTTAGGCGCACTATATGGTCGGCTAAAAGCTTGAGATTCTAAATGAATTTTCGTTGTGGATGTACATGACACTCCCCGGCCTAGGATGTCCACTAGGACTCCGAATCGAGCTGTGTTGGCCGACATCTGGAAGGTAACGAAGCCATAAAGTGTATTGATATGGAAGATGTGAATAAATTTAAACCTAAAAGTGGCTAAGTACAAGAGTGCGTGGTGAATGGGTATGAACCCATTTCACATGTGATGACAGAGCATAAGTACAGTATAATATAATAGGTTGACAATTATACCATCGATGGTAATCGTCTACCCCAAGATTTGTCGATAATCCTTGTTGGTACAAAAACTCTGCTACTAGAACCTGGAAGGGTGAAAAACAAGGGTGAGTGGGCCTGAAAATAAAGTTTTAATAAAAACCTTTTGAAAGTGTTATAACCCCTCGTCGTAAAACCCGTATAGTTTCCAGAAAATAATACTACGTAGGTACAAAAAATGAATGCACAGGTGCAATAAAAACAGAAGCATGGCACGCCACAATATCTCAGCAATAATAAATGTAAGCTAGGTGTGAGATTAGTCTAAACTAACATGCCAGTCAGAGTTATCTGATGTGACTTGTACAACTAGACTTATTGCTCATCAGTCTATGCTAGCACATGAGTCGAAGTCACCTAATGTGACCTGTACGATAGGCTGGGTGTAAATATGTCCGTTCTAATGCTACGATCACGTCACCTACGAGTCGGAGTCACCTAATATGACATGTACGACAAGCTAGCACCTAACTTAGATCCAAGGCGAGTGTGCGGTGTGGGAGGTGAACAATCACGTGAATGCTGTGCCTTGGCCCAGGGCGTAAGCACTAACACCGGGGTGTAGCAATGATCAACTCTAAATGAATATACGCATGCTCATATAATTCAACCATTTCAATCACATAATAACTCACCTGAACTTATTTGCACCTCCATATGATCATTTGGCATGACCACAAATCTCATCACAGTGCAATATTTAAATATAACACATTTAAATCATGGCATGCTCTGCATAATCAATTTAAAACATTTCTGGAAAGCCGTAAGGTGTATATATATATATATATATATATATACTATAAAACGGAAAAAGATCCACTCACCTGAGGTCCGCGCTACAACTCCCTAACACGAATATCGCGGCGTTACGAATGATCGACGCCTAGAATAATTATCAAATCACGTCTCAGAATTCTTATCAATAGAACACGTAACTTACATATCCTATTCGGGAAGATGCGTATGTCGGATTCCTGATCCGTAAGTTTCTAATATCCTCAAATGTTACATACTATAACGTATCAAAGTTTAGTGACGATCCAACGGTCGGATCGTCGATTACTATAATAATCAAGTGGCGGACCTTAATGGAACTAGGTTCAAAAAATGGAAATTCATCAATCGAACTTCATGTATGGAATTGGAGAATCAAATTTAGCCTAGGGAAGATCAGGGGATGCCTCGCCCCACACGCCGTCGT